TCTCTCTCTCTCTCTGTGTCTCTCTCGCTCTCTCTGTCTCTCTCTCGCTAACAGTAACAGTATGACAGCAGCACTCACCACTGCCAACTCGTATCATTCGCCTGCAATCTCACTTATCTATCGTAGAAGCAGAAACACGCGGAAAAAACGCAAAACTGCGTTCGACCTGCGAGCCGAGCGATAGCACCAAGTACGTAAAACCTCATCACGCGACGTACGTATGCACGTGGCAGACCGAAGAACAAGTGTGTCAAAGTGTCACAGAGACACTGACGGCCAGTCAGTTATAAAAGGGCCGCCTAGCTAGCTCACTAAGCTACTGTACAGTAGGCGAGAAAAACTCATACTTTCTGGAAATAATGAGATCTCTTTTTAAATTGTACTTGTAATTTCTTATCTATAGTCTCCGAGTAAATCATTCGTTTCGGGTTATTTCTTGTCGTTGTCTTCCCCTCTCTAATTTTCGTACAGTTCTTCTATAAGACTTCAGCGTGTGTAGTGCGCAATTCGGGTCTACACTACCACGCTGCCGCGTGAAATATTTGATTCGCAATCACATCGCTAACGTAGCAGTTCTACAGACATATATGTCATGTACATCCTGCCCAGGACAGCCTGCGTCAACGCAAATACCTCGTCGCTCCTAAAACCCATAGATACGTAGAGGGACCCTCGGTATGTGTGCTACGTACATATAGGCAGTGGAATGCGTAAATAAGCTCGTGAGATAACCACATAGATTTTGGGGACACGCACGCGAGACTGCGTGCGTGCGTGGCCATACTATACTATGCTACGTCACGTGTGTGTATGTGCTACGGAGTTAGATGTGGCGCGCAGTAGCACTCACTCACTGCCTGCACAACAGTTCATGCTGCGAGTTCATGTATAGGATACCCACCTACTAGCGACTTGTTTTTTATTAGTTTGTTATGCGACCACACGTCTGGGGGAGAATGGAAGCATAACACATACTTGTCATTATTCATGCATGGGTACACGCACGCGCACAAGCGCACCTGAGCCAAGAGCCAATGCCCTCTGGCTGTTTACCCAGCTTTCAGTCGATGCGCAGCGCACCTGTTCATTGTTCGGCATTCGATGTAGAGGGCAGCACGTGCCAGAAACGTCCGCACACAAGCGTCTTTGTCGAGAACATGAGAAAACACGCGCGAGTTTATTTAAGTACTAGCACTTACCCGTTGCTTTCTGCTGGTGTCGTGGCGGCGGCGGACGCGATGGCACGCACACAGGTGGCGCCGGTGTTCTCTCCGTCGAGGTGCGACGAGTCGGCACGGGCGGCTCCAGCTCGTCCGCGTGGTAGTACCAGGTGGCGCCACCAGCAGCACTCGTCTGCGTAGGTGGCGCTTCGGTAGGCTCTCCCCGCGCCGCCTCCATCCAGCCGCGCTCTCTCTCCGCAGAGACGCCGCGTGAGAGCTTCCGAGGAGAAGGCCGGGGAGGTACGGCCGGCTCCCTCTCTAACGACAAGCGAGGGCGGGGAGGGCGGGGCGGAGGCAGGGCGGGCTTGCCGACGACGCCGCCCTGATTCTTCGCGTCAAACATCGACCCGTCCCCGACGCCTCCGTAATCCAGCCAGTCAAGGTGCGTATACGCAGGTCTCGCCTCCCCAGGGGGCGCCGTCGTCCGGGGCGTCGGCAGCGTGTTGGAGCGCACCACGGTGGCGACGCACGGCCGGCCGTCGGTCCTCCGCCCAGCCGTCGCGTATTTCGTCGTGACCTCAAGCGAGGTCAGGTTGCGCGTCATCAGCGAATTGATGTCCGTCGTCGTCGTCAGCCGCCGATCAAAGTCAAAGTGGCGTCGAGGCTTCGCCGGCGCCACCTGGGGAGAGTAAGGCTTTTGCACTGGTGGCGCCCCCTGCACTGGTGGCGCCCCCTGCACTGGTGGCGCCCCCTGCACTGGTGGCGCCCCCTGCACTGGTGGCGCCCCCCGCTTTCTCGTCTCGTATCTGCCTCTCGTCCGATTCACACTCCTCTTCTCTCTCCTCTCTTATTCGTTGCTCTACGCTGCCCACAACGGTCAAGCCCTCTCAATGCAGGCCGGAGGCGGCTGGCCATTATTAATACAGCTCGCGTGTGTACTAGGCCATTGCAGTACGGGAGATGGAGGTGCTACTACTGTAACAGGTAGATATCAGGTTAGATACAGGTGCCAAGATCGAGCATGGATTAGTGTATTAAGGTGTTATGTGCGATTGAACGCGAGCCGCACGGACGCGGGCGTGTGTCGGTGTGCGTGTGTGCACGTGTGGATGTGCCCGTGTTCGTGTGTGTGTGTCTGTATGTATGGTATTATGCTATAAAGTCCATAATAGAAGTATGTGTGTGTGTGTGTATGGTGTGTTGGTTTTTTTGTTGGGCCGGGATCTTTGTGTGCAGTGCGTGCGTGCGTGCGTGGTGCGTGGCGTGCGTACGTAGCGTACTAGTACGTACGTAGGTAATGTATGTATGTATGTAAGGCAGGGATATGACCTGAGTATCGACAGCCTTTAGGTGCCGCTGGGCGCACTCACGCGGGTGAGGGTGAGTCAGTAGTTCCTATGTGCATCACGTATTGCCTCGCGGGCACGTTGCCCTGCAAGCTGCCGTGTATAGATAGAGTCAGCACCTGACAATGGACCAGCAGCTAGCGAGAGTTGGGATGGATTGGGACGGGAGGGGGGTACGGACTTACGGGAAGTGGGCAGGTGATGTAGGAGTAGGTGGGTGCCTCACTAGCCTGTAGTAGACTGTCAGTAGTGTCAGTAGGCTGTCGTGACTGTTGGATGTTGGGTTTTATAGCCGGGGTCGGTTGGTTGGAAAGGGGAGGGGGTACGGACTTACAGGAAGAGGGTAGGTGATGTAGGAGTAGGTTGCTGCCTCACTAGCCTGTAGTAGACAGTCAGTAGTGTCAGTAGGCTGTCGTGACTCTTGGATGTTGGGTTTCATAGCTGAGGTAGGTTGGTTGGAAAGGGGAGGGGGTACGGACTTACGGGAAGAGGGTAGGTGATGTAGGAGTAGGTTGCTGCCTCAGTAGCCTATCTTAATTGTTGGTTGTTGGGTTTAATAGGATGGTATCTGAGCAGCATTTTCTCAGCGCTTTCGTAATTTCGTATCTTTCCAGTCGATATAAAGACAGACACTCGTGTCCCGTGTATGAAGCGACACATCGGCCCAATCTTAATTTAGCACCCCGGATTAGTTTAGCATATATGCAAACTATATATACAGGGGTCCCAGAATTAGCTAGGAATGGGCAGACACATCAGAGTGGCCCAGGAAACACGAGGTCAATAACGAACCCACTGCTCCTGGGGGTTGCGGGCTGCCTGCCTGAAAAATCCCAGGAAGTGTTACAGG